AGTATTCAGCAGCTAAATATTCAGCTTGAGAATTGATAGTGGATTCCTTACAATTAAGTAGACCTTGAATTATTTTCTATGCTTCTCCATTTTAAAGCTTTTGCAAGGTTAATAGCTTCATTCTTAAATTCGTTTTCATCCTTAAATATTTCTTTTGGATCATCATTACTTATTTTTTTTTTAGGCATTATTGTTTTTAGTCTAAAACATAAATGAAAAGATTATTTTGCATTTATATACTTATACCAAAAAACGAATGAATGTAAATAAACCAAAATGCTTGTATTGTATAGTTTATTATTACTGAAATCCTATCTTCCAATTAAATTTATAGTAAACAGACTATGGATGCAACTTATGTAACTGGGCCCAGTTGTAAAATTAACAGCACACTTTTGTTATCAAGATTAATTGTTTGAATTGAATTATTTTTAATAGAAATTTTGGCAGTTAACTCTAATCCTAAGAGAATTTAATAATTAAATTTTTAATATTTAATCACGCATAATTATGCTACAAGAAAAAATAATTATATATTTCGCACATATATCTATACAAAATTATAATGGCAGTTAAGTAAGTTATCATAGTAAGTATTCAATTAATAATATATATTTTAAATTTTCCAATTTTATATAAAATATAAAAGTTATTTAGCTTAATTCAGCAATCTTGAAAAGAATGTCAAAAAAACAAAAAAATAAACCACGAGTATAAAAATCTGTATCAGACAGGTATTCATAGTTTCAAGAAACAAAACTTCCTACAATTGTTTTTCTTTAATTGCCTACAGTGATTCAGAATTCAGACAGGTATTCATAGTTTCAAGAAAATGGAATACAAAACTTCCTACAATTGTTTTTCTTCAATTGTCTACAGTGGCTATTGCAGCGATGTCCATAAAATCTAATCAAATTTCAAGATCAGTAAACGTTCATTATGTCAGAAATCGGTTATAACTCAAAATTGAGTATATGAAACTACTCTTTGAATTCTAACAAAAAAATTCCTTGCTAAATTTTACTATAAGCCTCTTTTCTCGGTGCATTAATAAACAATGTGGGAGGGCAATTTTACTATAAGACTTAACCCCAAACCAACCCTTACCCTAACTTTATTTAAAAAATCAAAAACACATGACTGGACATGGCTTTAGGATCTTCCTCAGCATCGCCCTAACTATCAAAAAAGGGTTATTAGCTGATTTCGTTATACTAAAGTATTATTAAAGCAACGATTTTCTGTCACTAGAATCACAATATGTATTCACAGCAATTCGCAGAGGTAGTGGTATAAAAATTTAGAAACTATGTTAAGAAATGAGTGTAAGTAAAATTGAGAGGAATTACGATTTTTACATAGAAACTCGCAATTCAAAGTGCTGAGAAAATTTTTAGTTTTATTGCTTCCGAGACCGATAATTTTTAAAAGTGTGTAAATGTGGTACTTAATATTAATAAGCACTATTCGTCAAATAAAGCTTTTAATTTAAAATTGACAAACACTACATTAATTTAGCACGACTGCAATGACTACAATGACTACAAAAATTCTGAATAACCTTAATAATTCAGGTTAATATTACCATTATTATAAAATGGTGCATTTGCATTTAAATATATCATTTGAATTTGCCAAATCTCAAATTGGCTCCGACTTGATTGAATTTGACAAATCTGGTTTAATAAAGTATTTTCGTTCAATAAACGATTGATTTCACTCGATTGAATTTGACAAATTTTGCTTAAATATCCGAGTTTATTCTCTAGTTGTCTGTTTTCATTTGTTAACGATTCAATTTTTATACATGCTGAGTGTAAAAGAATAATAAAATTAGTAAATCATAACATGGTTAATCAAATTCAAGAATGCTTACCTTCTTTTAATATTTCAACTTTATTCATCTTATATATAGACAATTGGTCATTGAGTTTTTTAAAAAAATCCTTAATTTTTGCACATCGTATTTGCTCGTATTTATTACGCTTTTGACGCTTTGCTTCAGTTAAAATTTTCTTCTTAGAACAAAGTGAAAACGATTGAGACATTATCAGATCAAGGATTTAGCTAATTTAGGTGTAGAAAAACTGAATCGTTTGGAAAAATTATTTAAGTTTGCAAGTACGAAGTAATATATATTTATATATCTATTTTATCAACCATAAAGCTCAGGCAATGAATTGTTGACTAAATAGGTGAGTACACAGCAAAACCATGCTTAGAGTATATATACTCTAAGCTGTGTACTCACCCAAATATATTTTATAGATACAAAACGTTTTTAATAATTTACTCAGTATTATTTGAAGAAATTCATTTTTCTCCGCCCAATGTAAAAAATTGCTAATAGCGGTTTTAAAATTATATTTGAAATTCAACAAATACATTAAGACCGTATTTTATTCTTTGTACATATTTTAATCTTTTAAATGGTAATTAAACAATACAATTACTGCTGTACTAAACATATTACATACGTATGTACTTATGTACTGTAGTCCATTCAATTAACGTATCATATTTAGTTTATTGATTTCTTATTTAATTAAGCTTAAATTTTAAATAA